GAAGTTTTGCTGTGGAGTAAAAAAAAAAAAAAAGTGGACACGTAACAAAATTATGAGGAAAGGGCATAGTTAATCATGTTTCTAATAATGGAAGAAAGTGAAGTGACTGTATGCATAGATATAAAAAACTGGTTTTTCTGTAGGGTGAGACTACAGTTGATTATGGGTAGGTTTTTTTTTTAAAAAAACAGAAATTGTATTTTAAAATTGGCACTGCATATTTAAATGAATGATTTGTGGGATTTAAAAAAAAAATTCCTCACTACTAATTGACCTTGTGTATGTTTGTCATGTTCAGGAGACCCAAGTGTCCATCGCGTTTTATGAATTAAGAGAAGCTCTCTTCATTTAGCTGCCTGTTACAAAAAATCATTTAGTCCGAACGTGCTAACCCAGGAAAGTCCTGGTCATCAGTAGTTAAATCAGTGCCTGTTGAAAGTCTCTCTTTTTTTTTTTGCAAACCGGACGACAAGGACTCAGAGCTGTGTGTCTTCCTAGAAAAGCTCTATTTGCCTGTTCTCAGGTACTTAGCTTGTCCTAGGAAAAAAGTTTCAATTTCCAAAGTTAAGGGTTCTGATCAAGTGTGATTCTGTCTTTAAAGTTCTTGGCGTCTGGTATTTATGGTGTTGGAAACATGCTGGATCCTTTTTGAACGACACCATGTTGTTTTTGTCTTAAGCACCTGGCTCTTACTGCCTTAGGAAATAACCTTTCCTTTTCTGTTGCACTGTTTTCCATTCTGTAAAGATCAGGATATTGGCTCTGGAAAGAACGTATCTAAATTATATTACTAAATTGGAAAGAGTACCCTCACCCCTCCAAAAAAACCCCCACATTTGTACAAAAGAGGTTAATATGAAGTAGAGCCCCGAACCGACACGGTAATAGCAGGTTGAGATCATTCCAAGGATGTTTTTCTTGGAAGTAACTACACTTGATTTCAGTTGAACGTGTTCCACTTGGGTTTGGATACATTGATTTTATGAATTTCCCATACTGAAGGGGCACACCTCTGCAAGGATCATGTTTTTATTTTTATTTTTTTTAACGTTTCCCCCATTTAAAAACTTGCATACAGTATAACGGGATGAAAAATTCAGCATCGTCACATTTGCTGGAATAGTGCAGAGAAGATAATCTTCTCATCTGGGAGCATTCAGACATGCGAGGCTGTGCCTGCCTGAAGTTTGTATAATCCAGGATTTTATCACTTTTTTTTTTTTTACTGGTGCAGATAATTTTTAGTTATAAATTCATGTGTTGGGGGAAGGGGAGAGAGAGCTTAAATCTTCCTCAAGGGTTGATTTGCGCAAAATGTGTTTGTGCATTCCTGTATATGATTATAATAGTAAGAAGAAAATCAATACTTTGCTTATTTATTTCCTATTAAAGCATATCACTTATTATTATAAAAAAAAAGATGCAAAAAGGGGCAGTGGTTTATTTCACAAATGGTTTTTACAGAGCGGTATTTTTTTTTTAATTTTATCAATACAGTACTGTAATGTATATAGTTGTACAGCCTTTTCCTTAACATACCTTTTGGGAATTTGTGTTTGGCTTTTCATTAACCAATACTTGACCTTTAGTTCTTAGAGCTTTGTATGGCAAAAAAATAAACACTTTTAATTCTGCTGAGGTGTAAACATTTCATTTTTTTTACAATAAATGCCTCCTGTAATTTGGAACCAATCTGTTGTCCTTCTGCAGCAGTCTGTGGGCTAAACTGAAAGGCAGCGTTGCTTAGTCTGAACCAGTGTTTCTCAACCTTGGCAACTTCAAGATGTGTGGATTACAACTCCCAGAATTCCCCAGCCAGCATGGGGGAATGCTGATCCAATTCTGGGAGTTGTAATCCACACATCTTGAAGTTGCCAAGGTTGAGAAACACTGGTCTGAACTGTGCTGGTTGAGGCCTGTGGCCAGGATCCTAACCCCTTCTGCTCATTTATATATTGGTTGTTTATGTAAATATTAGGTTTGCTATTGGGTCAAAGCATCAGCACACAACTTGGTGTCCCCAAAAGATTCTGGAAACCCCCCCTTCTTACCTGCCATCGATTTGGGGCATCTATGTACTGCTAAAACTCTTGTGTCTGTAACCTTCAGCTGGACAAAACGGTGCGTCATAGGGCAACAAGTTTTGAACCAAGGTACCTCAAACAGGCTAACTTTCAGAATGCATCCAAAATCCAGAACCCATGACTCCCGTGGGATTGAAATTTGGGAAATTTGCGGCTGCTTCAGCACTGCTGTGTTGCCACACTGCTGCAGTCAGTCCAGGTCACATGATCATCCTGGGCATATTCCCAACCTTTCCCGCCTCTCTCTGTCCCCTGTGCCCAATCGGCTGGTGGCAAAGCCCAACGGGTGAGCGGTGATTGGATGCTTTGGAAATGAGGCAGAAATTTTAAATCTCCTAACAGTGGTGGGTGTTGAGGGAAGGATGAGGGAGTGACTTGGATGCCTGCTGGCAAGATAGGGCTGGTTGGGGGGCGCTGGTGGTTGACAGGTGAGCCCTCTTCCTCGAGGAGGAGGCTTCACCAGAGCTCTCCTGGGTGTCATGAGGGGAGGGCAAATAGTGCCAGCCTATATTATATGTGGAGAGGGAGGGAGGGA